CTCAGATGCCCTGTTCCCACACGGAGCACTGGTCTCTAACCATGAAGCACACCCATCGGACCTGCCAACTTACAGATAGGGCACAGAAGATGGGTTAATGCAGCCTACACTAGTGCTTCAACCACAAGAGCATCCACCACCTGTCCTCAGCTGGTGTGGAGAAGCTCCTGTCCCTGTCGCTGGTTCCTATAAAGGACCCAGCCAGGGATTTTCATGGGGACAGATTAGGGCCCGAGGAAGGCAAGCAAGGATACCAAGTAGGGTCATTCCCCGAAAACCTCAATTGCAGGGGTTTAACGTTGCCTGAAGTGCAAGTAGGAGTTAATGTTACCTTTACACCCCAGCTCAACCACTCATTCCTCAAAAGGCTGCACAAAGTACTTGCTCTGTGATTTCTCTCTTGCGCTGCTGTATAGTGCTGCTGTTGAGACAGCTCTGGACTTTTCCATCAAAAGCAGCTCCCTGATACTTAAGGCTATGATGAACTGGACCAGACTGATCCATTCCTGCATAGCAAAGCATTTCCCAAATAGGGTGTCTCTATTCTTTGACTTCCTTCCCCACAAAAGCCGTAACAGAAAATGAACACCCTACTTAAGTGAAGGAATAGTAACCAGTCCATACGCTGCCACACTACAGGCATCTCAGCATGGTCACACAAGTTGTATTTCTTTTTTTTTCCACATACAGGCTTTTCTGTCAAATTGATTATCAGGCAGATGGGCTGTTTTTGGAGAGGAGTTGGCTACTTGCCTAGGGAGGGAAATAGGGAGGGAGGGAAAACAGCCCTCAAACAGCCCTGCTGCCCCAGGAGGTGCTGGTGAGAGCTGGTCCATGTGCAGTAAGGGAGCTTCTCAGAGTACCTTCAAACTCATGAGCTATGTCAGCATTTCTCCTCCCAGCCTGTAGATTGCTGAGGGCCCAGAGATGCACAGACTCCTATTATTAAACAGCTATTTCTGTTGACATTTTTATTTTTAGGAAACATTATGGAAACATTCACCACTACTGCTTGGAGGTAATGGAAAAAGAAGCGAGCTCCAAATTCTGGGCAATGGGGACCTCGAGGCAGGCAGCCAAGCTGGGCTGGGATGCAGCCTGGCTTCCCTACTGTGTTTATAATCTGTGCCCCACGCAGGGACATGAATGAATCGTGGCAGTGTCCTCGCCAGCTGCGGAGCGTGCAGTGGGCTGGTGCTCTCCCCCTCCGGCTGGCCACACCGACCCCTCCCCAAGGGGTTAAAAGCATCTGTGTGCTAAAGATGGGCTGTGATCAGTGGCAGCCAACCTAAACAGAACCATGCTCAAAGAGACTGTTGAGCACCGAGGGATGCTACCCTCGCCCAGAGTGCCGACCCAAAGGGCCAGGCAGTGATGGACAGCCTCTCCCTGTTGGTTCGCAGGGATGGGGGACCGGAGGCAAGCTGCGTTTCTTCTTCAGAATGGATTTTGCAGTTTCGCATTGAATCCCTCCCTGCTTTCTTCAGTTTTAAATGTCTTTAAAGTGTCTGTTTGCTTCCTCCGAGTGCTTCCAGCTGGATTGTCCCTTGCGGGGTCAGCTCTGGCCCCATCCCTAAAAAGGGGGGTTTAAATTAAAGGTGAAACCTGTGGTCTCGGCACTTTTTACTGCTCCCGAGTGCTAGTGGTATAAGCCCAGCAGCAGGCAATACCTGGATCTGTGCATTTGTTCCTTTGCCTCCACTGGATATCAGGTGGGCTGCAAAGAAGAATATCCTGAAAGAGAGAGAACAGGAGTGACCCCAAACCAAATAAACCCATTGCAAAATACATTAATCTGCCATCTGCTTGCTGGAGGGATACGAGTCAGGCTGTTAGCAGCACTGTGCCTTTCCACACTTCCCCAGTGTGGGGCTGGGCTGGCTCCATCACACTCTGACACACTCCGGCGTTGCTGAAAGGACTGGTGGATACATTCCTCACCTGATTTTGGCAGGGCCCAAGTAATCCATGGGACATGGAACCAATCGCCCCAAAAAAGCCACAGGGCTCAACCCAGAAGGCACATAGCAGAAGCCGTTAACATACCCGGCAGTAAATGAAATCCTCTTGAGCAGCAGCATCAGGGTCACAGAGGCTCAGCTAATCTTCCTGCCCTCTGCCCCCCTCAGACTGAAAGGGACACATCAGAAGCAGCACTGGCAATGTCACCCATTGGGTGGTTGACCACAGCACTGTCACATGGGATTTGTCCTCACCCTGGGGGTCCATCTGGGTTATCCTCCCCTGCCTGCTATGCCCAGTGCATGCAGTAAGGGGCTGCCCACTGCTCCAGGGAGCCACTGTTCAGGAGGAACCACTGGTGTGAGAGCTGGCTCAAGAGGGAAGGCACATCTTTTGGGGAGACTTTTGCGTTTTAGAAGCTTTGGCAAATTTTAAGTAACTCCAGTTTTGCCCTTTGCAGCAATCAGCTGGGTGTTTCTGCACTATCTTCAGAAAACCAAGTGGGCCACCAAGACTCAACTATGATAAAAAAAGACAAAAACCATCTTCTGGGTCAAAGTCCCTCACTAGTTTTTACGTAGATGATATCATGAAAGCCTAGATAGCACACTACTTCACACACCCACAGGTGCAGATGCGCGGACACACAAGCTAAACGATAGCTAATGCGTCCTTTTTCCAGGACTTTGCCAATATTGAAACACTCCTGTCCTCTACAAGCTCCTTTCCTGAGGCGCTGGCTTCAACCTGTGAGAGGGTGTTGAAGAGCCCATCCTCCCTGCAGCCCACACCGGATGCTGATGCCAGAGCAGCGGGGCCACAATCACCCCGTTGTGCAAAATGCAGCCCACTGGGTGCAATGCAGAGAGCTTGACCTCAGAGACCTGAGTTGTGCTTAATAGGACTCTTGCACTGTTCGCCTGCTAAGAGCCTTAACTTCTTACTGCATTATGCTGGGGTTTAGGCAAAGCAGGGTTCCCAGCAGGGTGCTGGATAGATTTCCTTTCCCATGAAAAGAGACTTACGCCTTCACGTTTGTTCCTTGTCCCCAAATCCCATTCTTTCCAGGTAGAGAAGAGAAGAATTTCATGGATTATAATTATGGAGGTGTTGTTCTGAGTGGGGGGTGGGGACAGGAAGATTAATGTAGGATGTAGCTGCATTGCCTAAGGAAGAGATGCTCTAATGGGAAAAGCTTTGGGAGAGGAGAGCTTTAGGGCTCTTCTCCCCTGCGTAGCAGCTGAGTACTTACAGGCACATGCTGACTGAGTTTATTTTGGCTGAAGGGGGACACTGGACTTTAGTAGGTCCCCCTCTTACCACACAGTGATGCTCAGCAGTGGTGAGCGGCTATCGGAGAGGGGCATTTGCACTACTTGCATTAGGAAGCCCCACTGCATCTAGGCATCGGGAAGGAGCTGCTGACAGGACCACATAGCTCAGACATATAATAAAAATGTAAGTAACTGCCAATATATAATATAACCCTTCCCAGGCCTCCAGCACCATTCACTCCAGAGCACCAAAGCACTGCACAAACAGTAATTAAAAATTCCCAGCCCCCAGCTTTGCCAGTGGTGCTGAATTCATTTTCCAGGGTGGGAAAATAAGCCTTGCATGATTAAGAGAGACAACACAATTTCAACAGCAGGAGAAATTACTGGTGAAACATAAGCTGCAGTGTGAACTCCGGTCCTTCACTTCCAACAGGAGGCTCTTCAAGACCAGAATGAGTGGTCGGTCTCTTCTCCATCATGTACATGCCGCCTGTCTATCCTCGTAATGGGCAACACACACCTAACGCACCAGCTACATCTATTCACTTCCAGTGGCTACAATCCAACTTGCTTTGCAGAACTGAAGTCTGCAGGGAAGTGGGGAGCACTGGGAAGAATAAGGCAGGAGATGCCTGCGACAAGCCTCTTGTCCAGTTCCTCCTCCTGGAGCATCTCTCTGCCTTTATCCAGTACTATCGAATTCAGAGCTCCTCGTGCCTTCTTGCTGACCACATGGCTGATTTCCTTCCCCAGAAATGTGTCACCAGAAACATCCTTCAAGAAGGAAAGGGACACTGGAACCTGCTGAAGCTTGGCTTAGTTCAAAGCTTGCCTGTACACCAGGAACACTGACCCTTTGCTTTCTGGTTTACTTAACACACCAACAATAGTCCGACATCAAAACAGCCTGTCCCTCTCCTGGTTTCTGCCTGCTCCACGCCCTCCAGGAACCCTTGGAGAAAAAATCATGCGGTGTCGGTTGTGGACATAGCCCTTGGGTTCAGTGTGAGCACACAGGAGCTACTCAGCAACACGTGCTGCTTCAGGTGCCAGTGGACAGACAGTAAAGAGCCCGTGGTGGATTGGACCTGATGACGGTTTCACTGGAGCCCTTGGCCAACATCTTTCCCAACGTGCTGGTTGCCAGTGCGGACCTGCGCAGTGCCTGGTCCCTTCCCTTCCCCTCTATCCCACCACCACCCTGCAGGTTGGCCAGCCAGGCCCCCTGCCTCTTAACAGCTTAGCAAATGCTTAAGGACCCTTTGGGAGGAAAAAGCTATTTAAATGAAAAATGACATTTCTGCCTCAAGGAAACTGGGTATATCCCTGCTCTGCTGCCATGGCTGAGCCTGGACCCCCGGCCTCCAGTGGGGCTCCCCAGGGCAGACATCGGGCTGTCTGGAAATAATAGAGAGGCTACAGGGCTTGGCAAGAGGTCCTGTCACAGAGGGGAAGGGTCCAGACAACCAAAAAGTCCAGCCTCCCACCCGCCGTCGGGCTGTTTCCAGACACATGCCAGCACCACCTGTGTCCGCTTGCTCGGGGGAGCGCTCCAGCAGTCTCCCAGCAGCTGGGGAAGTGCTTATGGAGCTGCCAGTGCTGCAGGGAGGGTTATTTAGTAATTTCTAATGGATTTTCCATACCTGTCAATATTTCCAGCCCTGAGTCAAGAGAGAGAGACAGACTCTGCTGGGAGAAGGGCTTTGGTGAAGCCTGTGGTTTTGCAGTTTACCTCTGGAGAGGGCTGGGGACTCACTCCTTTTCTCTCTGCATCTCTGCTGGTTGATCCCCAAGGAGAATGGGGATCTGGTTTGGGCTAGCTATGCTTCACATTTGAAAGGGACAGTCTTCTGTAAAGGAAAAGTCAGACCTGGAAATCTGCTGCTTCCATTAAGCATTTTTTTTGGCTAAATTAGTTGTTGGAAATCAATGCAACCATGAAGAAAGCAGCCCATGGGACTCTATTCGGAGTGCCCAATTCCTGGTAAAGATCTAGGAATTGCTGAGAGAGAAGTAGCAGCATGGCAACAGGGAGAGTTCCCTGTGGATGATGTGGTTTCAAATGAGTTTCTCTATGGAGGGGGTTTCCCACTCAGCCAGCAGGCTGGGGGGGCTGGCTGGGTGTAGCAGAGAGGGGACTGCCCTCTACCAGCGGTTTCATAGTCCCTGCTCCATCACCTTTCTAGGACTGGAAATGGTTGCTTTTCACTCCAAGCCAAAACTATGCCAAGCTACGACTATCACAGTCCTTCAGGTCAAAGCCATATTCTTTCTCTATTCCTGCTCTGGTCTGAAAGGTGATCTCCCAGCTCGAGATGCACTATCAGAGCATCTTACTGTTACAAGGACCATCTGTGATGCTCCTAGCAAGACCCTGCTGCCTGGCACAGCTCTGCCAGTGCAGCCCCACCACTGACTTCAGCTCATTTATAGCAGTGGAGCTGGTGGGCAGAAATTGGGCTGAGATGGAGCTGGCAGGGCACAAGGCTTCTGTCTTGACAGCACCTCCCCTTGCTGACTTGCAAAGATGCTAAAATTGTGACAAAGTCAGGAGGAAACAGGAATGTAGTTCCAGTAAAGCTGGTTTCATGATAAATGGTTTCCCAGATGGCAGCAGACGATGGAGGAGAGCCCACGCTCACCCAGAAACATCCAGAAGGCCACTTCTGCCAGGAGAGAAGGTGGCACTGGGCTGGAGAAGAGCATTTGTCTGAACTAATGGGCCACAGAGACATTGGAAGGAAAGTTTTCTTCGGAGTAAAGGGGGCAAGTCTCTGCTTTCACTTACCATCCATCTATGGCAACTCTTTCCTCTTGGTACACGGTTCTCATCCTTCAGCTGACGTCTTGTTGCAGAAAACACTAACCACATCCTTCTCCTAAGATGAGACAATGGGGAAAGAGGCTTGGCAGGGGACAAGGGACCTCCTGGCAGCCCCTGCAAAGCCAATCTTGTGGCCCGGGGTCCCCCCCAGCGCAAATCCCTGTGGTTCTTGTTTGTTGAGCTGGGACAAAGTGGGCACCGAGGTTAAGCAGATGTTGGTTAGAAAATAACCGTGAGAAAGGAATAAACCAATTAATTGCTGACCCATTGACAGCCAACACCTCTCCCCCACCTCCCCCCACACAATAAAACCTGTCTCCACAGCTCAAGCAGATTTAGGGTGGCTGCAAAGAGCCTAGAGGAGGAAAAAAACCCTTTCCCACTCCGGCTAATAATATTTCCAGATAATCTGTTTGAGGCAGCACCCTCTGTGAACCGGGAAAGCCTTTAAGAGCCGTTAACACCTTCATTCAGACTTCCTCATCCTCCCCCAGACAAGCTGCGATTAATTACCCAATCTATCCCAATCCCCCTGGGAAACGCTGCTCAGTCTGGGCATTCATCCGAGGATTTGCCGGGTCCCTCTGCGAGAGCCACTGGCTCCAGATAAGCAGGAAAGGGCTGAGGGGGAATAAACTGCTTCTAGCCCTGTGTTTACATTGGCACGGATGGTGAGAGGAGAGGTTAATGTGGGGTTTAGGCAACATCCATAGCTTTTTCTTTTGCTGGTGTCAAAGCACCAGTAGGCAGCACTGGCTGGACTGTCTGTGGAAGCCCATCTCTAAGAAGTTGCCAGTGGAAGTACAGTCCGTTTAGTTCCCACCTGGATTTTCACAGTTGCCCTTCCAGCTTTGCCACTCTCTGGCTCAGCTTGCTCCGAGGATAATTTCTTTCCTACCAGTTCCCAGTCCTACCAAAGGTGCTGGGGATGTAGAAAATGGGGAGGAAAGGGGAATTACTGCCTCTTGGATTGCTGCAATGGCTGGGACACTGTGCCCAAGAGGTGCCCCTGTGTAGGCTATTGCAGACCAAAATGCAGCTCATAAAACTCATCTTGTACATGCACTGTCCCACCTGGGCTACCTTTATTTACCAAATCCCTGGCTTTTTTGCATCACAGGGTAACTCTCCCATCCCTGAGGCTGCACACAGCCCCTCCTGGCCATGCAAAGGGAGGATATGAGCTGCTCCAAGGCCATGGTATCACAAAACAATTTACCAAACCCAACTCCAATCCTCTTCATCCCAAAGGCCAATCTCTGCTGCATTACAGATAACACTAAGTCCGTGTTCATCCATCACAGCCCTTCATCCACAGTAGCTGCAGCCCTCAGGCTGTGTAAGGATTAATGTAAGTGCCCACCCTGCCCCAATCCCCTTTGCTACTGCAGGGTGGAGGCAAGGGTCTTCTCCGGGGACTGTGGTAGCAGCATGCACACACCTTATGACTTTTCTCACTGTGAAAAGGCCCTACAAATCTTCCATCTTCAGGAGACACTTGCAGCTCCCCATCACACCCACAAGACCTACCTGTAGAAATACTGGGAGGGTGTGAGCGAGGGGTGCACTATGGGACTGCCATGTCCACATTGCCCAGCCACAGAGAACCTGTAATTAATGAGTCAAATGCCATGACAGCCGTTCTTTCATGTCTTGAGCTGAGGCTTCATGACACTTGGAGGAGCTCCTTTCCATTAAGTCTTCCCCTTTTGCTATCCAGGGCTGTCCAAGAACTCACCCCTGTGCACCACATCTTGTCTGCTGGTCTACATCTGCCAAGGACAAAAGCTCAGAGACATCCTGGTCTGCCACCATGAAGCAGTATCTGCCATCACCGTTTTCTACCAGCCACCTCTAGAAACCTTCAGCCAGGAAATAAAAGCAAAGACCAACAGCAGCTTGGGGGTCCCAGCAGGTTTTGCAAATGAAAACCATTGTCCTCTTCTTATAACCAGAACAACATGTGTAGGGCATTTTCAAACAAAACAAAGCAAAACAAACCAACTTTAGATTCATCATCTCGTGTGCACTTTGAAAAGGTGCCAAAGCAAGAATGAGGAGAAAGAGAGAACATGTTTGCCAGATGGGTGCCAGCTCCCCCAGGACGCTCCACAGCCCCAGGCCTTGGTTAGCATCACACCTACACACTCTGCTTCGTGGGCTGGACTTGGTTTCAATACTCTCTTTATTTTTAGCCACTCTTTCAAGAAAGGGGGAAAACAACCATCTCTGAACCTCTGCAGCTTCCTGAAGCCCTTGAGAAAGAGAAAGCAGAGGAGAAAGCAGGCAGCTGAGAGGGCCACAGCCCTCCTCCCTGCTGAAGGCTCCAGCCAGCCCAAGAGCTGTCTCTGCCTGTCTTCCAGTTCACATCCAGAAACAATGGTGATCAAATCGGCTTGACCAGGTGCTAGGGAAGTTCACGGGAGTGCAAAACACCCACAGCTTGCAGATCTGCTTTGCTAGATCTTCTCCAGGCCAGGGAACAATTGGAACACTCAGGTGCGTTCTCTGGGAAGGAAAGCAAGGGAGGACCTCCATCGCAGAGGGTTCCTGGCTCCACCAACAGTGCTTGCTGTTGCTAACTGCCTGACAGAGTTGAGAAAATAATGACTAGAGGTAATCACCGTGGGATTTTTGCCTTTGGCACATGGGTTCTGAGCATGCAGAAATAGAAGAATACCTGCAAACTTCAGGGATTTCTCCATGGTGAGCGAGGGACCACCAATGTACCAGGCTGGGTACCAACTCAGAAGGGAAGGTTCTGACCAAACCCAGGACCTTGCTGAAGGAGCTGCTTTGGAGTGGTGACCTCTGGTGCAGGACAAAGGTTCATGTTTCTTGTTCATCCCCATCTGGACTGACACATCTGAGATCCGAAACCTGGTACCACTTTGGCCCCAGAGATGCTTGGGCAGCTCTCCTAACTGACTGCTCCTGATCCATTTCTTACTTGGCAATACCCTCACATCTCCAAGAGCCTGCGAGCAGCCACAGGTCCCTGCATGTTGCCTGTCTCCACTGAGGGCTGTGATGAAGAGCTGTACTCTTCCAGGCAGTTCCCTGTATGGAACGGGGCCATGCCCTGGCTCTGCCCCCGATGTGGGCACAGGCGTTACTCCTGCATGTTACTCCTGCAGCCGTCCCGCTGGCGATGTGTGGTGCGGATCCAGCAATGCCCAGCCCAGCTATTTCAGCAGAGACAGCAGTTTTCACATGGGTCTAGCCACTATTTGGATAGGAGACATGAGGAAAAACCAGGTGCTGCAGGAAGTGGTTTGGGTGATTTAATAGGTGGCATCTTCCCTCCAAGTCAGCAGCACACTGAAACTCCTCGGTAGGGAGCTCAGGGCTCTGCGCCACTGTAGGTGTTGCTATTTTAATGACATCCCAAGCTTATTGCTTGTGGTCACCCAAGATCCCACTTCTTGCAAGCGTGGAGGTGTTAGCTCCAGTGTCCTGAGCAGGCTCCAGTTTTCAGCAATTATGCTCTGTTGAGCCAAGAGCTGCAGGAATTTCCACTGGACACGTTATTCTTCACTCTCTTTTCCCACTATGACTACTGAGCAGTTTTCCCAGGTGTCAGAAAACAGCATTTTCAGAGGCATATCAAATACAAATGCTTTCCATTGCCTTGAAAAACCTTTTCTTGTTTTGCCCCACCAACCCTAGTGTCTACTTCACCTTGCCTGTGTAATTTCTTGCTCACCTGTTGGTTTTGATCTCCTCCAGCCTGCCTCGGCTTGTGCAGGCCATGGCCATCTCTAGCTTTGGCTGAGTTAGTGCATCACACCAGACCCCATCTGCCCTGCTCTCCACCACCACCTAGGAAGGTACCAACTGCACCTTGGTCCTTGACAGGAGATCCCAGCTGCTACCAGAAAAGAAATAATCGATTATGAGACTGACATTAATGAAATATGAGACTGCGACTTTGGACAGACTAAAGCCATAGAAAGCATTTTAAATAATTCACCACCCTGAAAGTAAAGCATATTAGTGGGGAAGACGTTCAGGTCCTTTCACAGTGGCATTAACTTCTATGTAACCGGCTCATGCTGTGAGCTGACAGCAAAACGGGACTTCTCGGTAGGGAATCCTATAATTTCAAAATGTATCTGAAAACCAACATCCCCCCCCAAATTATTTGCAAACATTATTTTGTTTTGGTAGTGTCTCATACAAGAAAATGAAATCCAGAACTAAATGAAAACACAAAATGCTGAAACAAATTGCAAAACCCAGACACACACGCTGGCAAAACATTCAGCCAAATCATTGCCTTCTGCAAAAATGCTTCTATTTTGGCAAACCCATGTTTTTTTAGGGGCAGACGGATCCACCAGACACTTCTGAACCCAGAGCAAGCAGCAACGAAGGCTGAAGAGAGACACTGAGTGGGAGGCAATGGTTAAAATGTCAGTGTTTTGTTTTTCACTTGAAATGAATCCAAGGGCTGCAGGAAAGATGTTCAAGAGCAAGTATTGTGCTTTGGTTGTCTGAGAAAGCCAACATCAGTGCCTGGGCAGAGTATGGGGTTACCCAGAAAACCCCTGCTCGTTCCCCCCCTGGAAGGGGGGATGTCACCTGGGCAAACATTTTAAATTTATCTCAGCAATTAAATGAAATTATGTTCACACAGCAGATATATTTGTGTCGGTGAAGCTAAGCTTAGTCCAAGAGGTTGTTGAGGACGCTGTGCTGGTGGCACACACTTCAGCTGCTTGAAGAGCTGGGGTGGCAGCAGGCAGGGGCTGCTGCTGCCAGGCAAGGGGCTGAGTGTATCTTTGTTATGGAGGCAGCCCTTCGTGGGGGAGAAGTGTTTCTTTGGGGCTGGTGGACAGGAATGAAGGAACAATGGACAAATGGCATAAGTTTGCTAGCTCTCGCCCTGTGCGCCTCACATGTGGTACACTGCAGGGCTAGATTACAGTCACAGGTCCACCCCAGCAATGTCTTCTCTGGGATGGCAGAACCTTTCCAGGCTCCTTTGAAGGCTTCTGAGTGTCTATGGGCACCTGCGCATTAACAGCCTCAGTTCCTTCCCTTGCTGCTGAAATCGCTGCGGAAATCCCAGTGGGAAACTCCTCTGGGATGTGACAATACCTGTGGGACAATGCTCTCGCCTGCTTCTGCCAGGCCAGGAGGTCCTGCTGCCAGCAAGGATGCTCTAGCCAAGCAGAGCGAGGAAACACCTATGAAAGAAATACCTCTTGTGATTGCACCTTAAAAGGTCAGTTATGTTACCTGTTGTGCAACGTGCTCAGAACCTACCACAGGTGATTAAATGGTCAGGAGTTATTAGATCACACATCATATAATCCTCCCTGTACCTGGCAACATGATTAGTTATGATTCATAAATTCCAGCTGTGTTATGATTCCCTAACGGATGCGGCATGCTGAAAACTCTCTTCCATGGCTTTCACAATAGAAAACCACGAGGGACTGACACGGGTAGGAAGTGAGACCCTCCTTAGGCTGATACATCGGGGGCAGCAGCAAGAAGGGGTCCTGCCTCCTTAATTTGGAGGACACAACAGTGTTCCCCTGCACCCTCTCCCCCTGAGACTGTGAGATGCATGAGACACCACTCATGCTGGGAGGTGGCTGGGGACAGAGCAGTGGCACTTGAGGGGTGAGGGAGGCAGCCTAGAAGGGGGCACATAGGGAAGAGAGGTTGTTAGCTGGTGAGGGAGGGGGGAAAGGGCAGAGGAGAACCAAGGTCTGTCCTCTCTACCTCCACAGCAGTTGGCTTTGGGCTAGGGTGAGTCACAACAAGAGAGCTTGATTAGAGAGAGCTTGATTTGTGAAGCAGATGCAATTAAAACCTTGGATCCCCAGGGTTGGGGATCCTGAATCAACTCCTGCATCACTGAGTGCTGTCGAGGGGCTGTTTCTGCTCCTCTGCTTTCTTTGCAATACTCTTGCTGCAGCTCTTCAGGCCAAGGTAAAATCCAGCTGAGCTACTGAGGATGAGCAGAAGCAGTGAAATGGGAGCACAGAACTGTCCTGGGAAGAGGTGAGCTAATCCGGGGAAGAAAAATCCTTCAAAGACTATTATATGCAAAGACAAAAACAATGCTTTAGGAAGATCCTGAGTGCAAACTCATGCAGGTGGGCAGCACATACACAGGACATCACCTGAAGGAGGTCTTGTGTCGTCTTCTTACAGGGGCATCTGTGCTGGGCACTTCACAAGAGAAGGAACGAGGCTAGCTAGACCCTGGATCTGATTCCAAGTGGTTTTTACTTTAGATGAGATGAATAGCTGCCTGGGGAAGTGGCTAGATCTCTGGTGAGCGCTGCAACCACCCTAAGTACTACTGACAAGTGAGAAACATCAGCTTTCCCCCAAGCAGCAGTACTGAGTCTTCAGTAGGAAGAGCAGGAAACTCTGGGGTCAGGAACATCCACTGCTTCTCAAAGATCACCTGCCAGTGACCCATGCACCCCTCAGGCCAGGTCCAACACTGACCCCAAAAGAGAAGCACCAGAAAAGCTGGGGACATGATGGCCCCATGCCCATCAATCCTGAAGTCATTAAAATTTTGCTTTTGAGATGCACCAGTGTCACCAAGTCCACGGCTATAAAACCTCATTAAATATTTCATTTTCATTGATTGCTTTCAGTAAGTGCCTATTGAGGAATTCATGGGAACGTTTTCTGTTTGACACAGAGATACTTTCAATTGTGAAAGATGGCTAAAAATAAAAGGAAATTACACTGTTCAGACATCTCTGGAGGTGGAGACAGGAGGGGGAGCCATCAAGGAGAGCCAGGAAAGAGATTTTGTTAGATGTAAAGAAAGGCTACCTATTTTTACCAACAGAAAATGTCAGGAGAAAGCCTGACTTGGGTATCTGGAATCTGTCACTCACCTTCTCTATTAATAAATTGGCCTCAACTATTTAGGGTCTGAGCCAGAGTGCCAGAGTTGAGAGTCATGACAGTCTCTTTCTCTAACAGCAGGGGGTTGGATCACCCTCCTAAATCTCTCAGTTGTACACACATTTATTTTAATGCACATTTTTTTTTTGTTTGTTTGTTTCTTTCTTTCTTTCTTTTAACAGTCTGTGTATGTGTGTAACACAGTTCTGACCATTCATGTGTAAGTAAAAAAAAAAAAAAAATCAGGCTAGAATAGGTATTGAGGCAAAAGATTGTACACAGGGAATGAAAAAAACATACCTCATGAGATTGTATTGAAAGTGTTTTCCTTATTTAGCATAATAAAATAAAGACTGTCAAAGAATATGATGTTAACACATTTTTTTTTTTTTGCTGTTTTTTTTTTTTTTTTTGAATGCAGGAACCCAGCCTGTGACACTAAGACAACTCTTTTGGGGCTTCTTTTTTAAGGCAAGAGGCTTGGGCTGATAGCCTAGAGCTTATTACACACTCAGTAAGTCTACAGGATGTCCCGATGTTGACAATACATTTACATTTGGTAGCAAAAATGACCTGGCTGAGAGCAGGACTTGGACCATCAATCCTTTATGGATCAACCCTTTGAGGCAGGAGACTTATTCCTCTGACAACCACAACAGGCTGCTCAGCCTCTCCTACGGACCAGCATCAGAGGGACACGGCTAAGCTGCAGTAACCATCTCGCCACGCATTTTTAGCCCTTTGCAACTTTTCCAAGCTTAAATCTCTTTTAACGAGTAATACAATTTGTATTACCAGGGGTTCCCCCTGGGCTTGGATTGTGCCCTCCCCCAGCTCCCCATGCTAATGCAGTGGGGTGGAATCACTCTCTGACACTCCTTTCTCAAAATGAGTACCTAGGAAGCCGAAGCTTCTAATTTCTGGGTGATCTCAGTAAGTTGATTATCCATGTTCACCAGAAAATCTAAGTCTTACAGGGTGTTTTGCAGGGCCGCTCAGTGATCTGGCCGGCAGCCAGGTCACACCGTCACTGGTGGGACAGCCATCCTGCCCACCACTTTCCTTTACTCACAGTCAATTTCCAGTTCTTGGGATTTTCTTAACTACACTCAGTCTGCTGAGGCCACAGTGAAGCTTGGGATGGCCTATTTCCCAGACACCATTAGGCCAGTTGATTGGGAAACATGGAAATACCTCTCACTTCTGGAGGAGTCTGACCTTTCCCAAGCATTGACCCTAAAATGAATTCCCAACAGATCTCAGAGCTGCCTCAAGTTTCAAGTGCTAAGCTACTCCTTTGCTGAGGTCTGTCTATCAGCCGTGATAAAAAAAGGAAAACATTGAAATAAACCACTCACCTCTGTTATCATCTCAGGGACGAGGAAGAAGGGAGAGCCAAGAAGATAAATTCAAGTCTTGTGATGATACACGTCTTGAAGAGCTCCAGTGTTGCTATGATCGAGGCAGTGTAACTACCTGAACAACGCAGAGAGATGATGTCGTGGAAAAGTAGTGACTTTAGTGCAGCAAGGAATGCACTGAAACACCACACAAAGGTTTAATTAAAGGGGATTATAACCGATGAGGATAATTGTGTGTGCCTGTGCTGTCCGACTGCTGACATTTTCTCTGTCCCCCAACAAGTGTGGCACAGACTTTGGTGCTCTGGATTAATCTGGTTAACAACCTGCATCTCTGGTTCCACATGAGATGCAAATTCTGCAACAATTTTTAAGTGCTCTGAAGGCTCCAAGGCTGCTATACAGACTGATGATGTGGGCTTGCCTCTAAGTGAACCCTATAAATTTGCCTCCAGAAAACCAGTGGACTCATTCCACTTCCAAAGGACAATATATTCTCTTTACACCTTTTTTAATATAAATATTCTCTTCACAGTCCTTTTTTTTTCCAAGCCACATTCTTCAGCAGCGCTACAACTTACACCGTGGAGGCTCCTTGTTGAGGACAACATCAGGTTTGAAACAACATCAGTGTGCTCACATCTGAACCTGTTCAGCTTCTCTAAATTAAAAAAAACTCCAAACAACTATAGTTTTGAGGTTTTTAATAGCAGGCTCACTCGCAGAGAGCAATGAGACTCATGCCACCTCTGAGAATACAGCTAGACCCACCTGAACAAAGATGGTGTTGGGCAGCAGTCACCCTTTTGGGCAGGTCTTCAAGTGGACAGACTGCCCTGCCCACGGCCATGAAGAACATCAGCATCTTGAGAGGCTCCTGATGTAAAGAGAGAGAGGTGTTCATTTGCTTAACAAGAGCTGAAATCAGTTCAAGCCCTGATGCAGCTCAGCTTTACAGCACATACTAAGTGGCCTTAGATGAGCTATTGTCTTGAAAACAAACCAGCTTCCTCCAAGGAAGCTCTACACAGATATGAATTTGCCAGAGTTCAAACAAAATATGGACAACCTCCCAGAAGTCAATGTCCGCAGGAAATTTCAGACACACGTTTGCATCATCCCTTTAATTAAATGATGCACGCTCAATGCAAGCTTCTATCCTTAGTAAAAATCAGTGTTACTAATACGAATGAAGAGAAGAGATCAAATTGATAGGGGATGGAGTTAAATGAGTCTCCCAGACCGTGGGATGTCACTGCTGAGTGTCATGGAGCCATTGATCAAGTGTATAGGATGACAAGAGGTGACAATACAGAGCCCTTACCAATTGCTCCATCACTTGCGCTGCACTGGGAACCAGCCTTGCTCTGTCACCCTCCACAATACTGAATTACAACCTAATTAAAGTTCCTAACTGAACATATATGTAACATATTGAGTACTTCTGATCTGCTCTGGCCTTGAGTAAAATGTATGTCTTGCACTCCACACAGGTGACCAGTGAAAAGGGGAGAGCTGGAAAATATGACACTGAAGCTGTAGAGGATCCTTATTATCCCTGTTTCTTCTCCATTGCAAATCAAAGTCACAGGGGGAATATTAAAACTACCACAAAACAGCACAGTCTTGTTCTGTAGATAGGAGCTGAAATGCCTCCAGACCTTTCTTCCCCTCCATAGCACCTGTTTTATACGTGCCTTTAGCAAAGCACTCTGCTCTAATTGGATTGGGCTGTATTCTCTGAGCCACATGCACTAATTTAAAATGATCAGAGGCCTAATTAGCCACACTCTTCCTTGCATTTTAAGCAGCCATTTTAAGTTAAAAATATTATGCATGTTTGGTGGTTTTGGAGAACATTCCTATGTTAACCCAAATGGAAAAGCAGCTTCAGCACAATACATTTTCTGCAAAATTACCACTAAACAGTGAAATGGTCCAGCCAGTCCCTGGTACAACTTCTATTAGCAGATGTGTTGAGCCCGAGGAGTTTAAGGTGTTATTGCACTTTTGCTGGTTCTGAGTTTTCCTGAGGTAGCAGATGATCAGTGCTTTCCTTCTAAACAGCTGGACTTGATAATTTTTTAGGGGGAAAAAGTGTTCTATGCTAGCCAGTCATCTCCTGCCCGCTGGCATGTTTATAACGGGCTGCAGAGGAAGACTGCAGAGTGATTTTGAGGTAGGCATCTTCACATTGCACATAAACAGCTTTTTATCAGGACTATTCCCTGCACAAAAGGGTTTGCTTATGAGGGCTCCATTCCCTTGTGAGTGCCAATGAAAGCGCAGTATATGTTGAGGTGGGAGGCAGGAGAAAATAGGAACCATAATGAAGCTGGATAGCAAGGGAGAGGTGTTCTGCAGGAACTGCGCTGCAACGGGGCTCATGATCAACAGCAACCTTCAGAGAAGAGGGAAGAATTCAGACCTCCCGTGAAGAAGGGATTGTTTCCCATTACTCTTTCTTTTTTTTTTTTCTGAACTTGTCATCTCTCTGCCAGATCTAAAGAATAACGCTTCAAACGAACGTGCTTCATCTGTAGTCTTGCCTGGCAAGTCAGAAAATGACGAGCGCAAAGTACAGTTACGAAGTAATCATGCAAAAAGCCTCTGCCATGGGAAACGACCCAGCATGGCACAAGATTGCCTGGGGAATTATGCACACTGTGAGCATGGCTTTCCCGGGTGCAATAAGCTGGCAAAGCTGCAGCTATTTGATATATGAATGTGCAACTTGGGTCCTGCACAACCAGCAGCAGGATATGGGGTTGCTCTGGAAATCACTCCCTGGATGTCCTGCAGCCTCTGGACCGTCTCTTCACTTTGAATGGCAAACTGTGAACAGTCAGCCCTGGCTGCAAAGGGAAGGGATGGTGCTGACTTCTCAGAGCATGCCAGACTGTGATTTTCCTCCCAAAGGAACCCAAATCCCTTTATAGCTCATTCACCCTGTGTTGGTCATGAATAAATACTTTAGACCTTGGAAAGCACTGAGGTATAATAATAATGAGGCTCTAGAAATAACAAAGATAGAGGATAAATAGTCCTAGAGATGAGAATTGTGTGCATCACATCTAAATGAGATGCAAAAGACTGTTTCCCATAAATGATGCACCTTTTTCCATGTAGCAGACATGGTGATGCCAGCTTCTGGCTGCGAGAACTCATTTAATCCCAAGAATGCAGCACTGCCTTAACAGACGAGCTGTCTGAGGGTGCTGGTTTATGTGCTCAGCTTGCTGCCATGCTTTATCTAAGGCACAGACGTGCTCATTTCAGGAGTGCTGCTGGATTTCAGTTGGTCCTCAAAGGACCAATTATGGCACTGCTTCAAGGCTAGAGCTAACCAACAAGATGCACTGGGGTACAGCAAAGACAGACTGGCTGCTGGGAGAGGCGCTTTGCTCAAAAAACCCTAAGGAGAAGGAGTCGTGTCTGTGTCCCACCAGTTACATTGAAGCTAGATAACTGCAGCAGCTGGATTCCCATCTTCTTCCCTTTGTTTTCTCCTCTTTCTCTTTCCATTCCTCTTTTTTTTTTCCAATGAGACAAGGCAACTGTAAAATCACCAAAAGCATTTTTACCAGCCCTGCAAAGCTTTTTGTGACCTAAGCACCTACGTGGAGTTAGAAATGCCTTCAGATGCACTTTGGGATGGAGGGCATGGTGGCACAAGCCCTCCATCAGGGGTCATGTGGTAAGGGAATGGTGCAAAAATTGCCTGGTTCAAGCAAGTCCTTTGCAGGGTTTGTGACTGTATAGGCAGGAGGAGTTTTGCTGAACTAGCTGGAGAGGTAGCGCAATGGCACCTTACTTAGCTCTTGCAGAGATATACCAGTACCTTGCGACAGACACAGGAGCTCATCTCCAACAAAGGACCTAATGTATTGAGAACAAGGGAAAAAAAAACCCACATGGTAGAAATGGAAGGATAAGGCAAATGCACCAGAACATGACAGCATGGTTCAGATTCATTATATGCCAGCTAAGGAACTCCAGCTCCCCAAGACCTTGGAAAAAAGCAGGTCTAGAAAGGATGCAGTAAGATTGCACAGCACATCATAAAGCATGTGTTTCATTCAGTGCTGAACCAAGCAGAACACACAGGGTTCCTGGTCGGTGGTGATCCTCTGGGGCAAAAGCAGCTTTTGCCTTCAGGGATGTCCACCCCAGGGTCTCCGCAGCAGAGGAAGCCCAGATCAACTACTGGAGATGAGCCCAGGGTGCCTGCAGGAGGGTTAGCGCCTCAAGCTTGAGACAGCAATGAGAAGCCCAGCACTTACTCCTGTTTCCTTCCCTGGTCTGGAGGAGCAGAGCGCCCTGGCTTGATGCTGACTGGTAAGCAAAGGCTGGAGTTAAATCTTTGGTCTGAGTGGGGAAAAAAGTCTTTGTTTCATGAACCAGTCTCCACAGAGCGTCCCTTAGAAGAATGCAGCCACTAAGATGAAATTGCCATTCATGCTTATTAGAGATGCTCAATGAATTAGGAATTCAATTAAGAAAATGTTCCACTGCAGGAAGCTCAGAAATTAAGATTATCATTATTGTAGAGGAAGGAAACATTTTTAATGTATTAATTTTTTAAAATTACATCACTACAGACAATGCACTTATTCTTGCAGCATCCAGGCCAGTGAAGGACACCAATTTTCCTCAGCAATGGGATACGGTGGCAAGAAGGCTACAGAGAAGTAGATGATGCAAAGGAGGTTTTCAGGGGGGACACAGAGCTCTGGAGAACAGCAGGCTGGATAATGGGCCCTGAACTGTGGTTTGGAAGAGATGACAGCACTGGATTCCTGGATTTGACCTTTAGTCCTCACCTGTAACTAGCTCTACGGCTTTTCACAAGAGCCTGACCTAGATGGAGGCAACATGAGTGGCCAGCATTGCCTCAAACAGGGCTGTGAACCCAAAGAAAAAGGTGTTTTTGGGAACCTCCCTCCCATTCCCCCACCAGGGCAGGGATTTACTGCCTACAATGTCTTTTTGTCGTATATTTGCATAGCACCAACACCTGATCCAGGGAGCGTGTGTGGGGGTCCCTGCTGCTGCCTGAGTACCTATGAAATAAAGCAATGATTCAGTTCAAAGCAAAAGGTGTTCCCAAGCATCTCCCCAAAATAAGTCTGGATGGGGGACGTGGGCTGTTGGTTTGTGGTTTTTTTTTTTTTTCCCAAGGAAGAGATATTACATGGAAAGCCAGGAACAGAATAAATTGCAGGGGAAGGAGAGGAGGAGGAAATCACTCACAGCCTTTTGTGTTTCTTGTTCCTTTTCCAAACCTTATGCACGCCACTGTTTTAATTAATAACTCTGTCTCTTCCACCCCTTTCAAAGAAAGGAGCGTAAGGAGAATGTATTCCAGGCACGCAGGTACCTGGGGAAATCCAGCAATGGTTTTAACGTTTTGAGGCCTCATTATGAGGTTTTAGCTCTTACTCAAAAGTTGTTCTTTGCTAAGAATTACCTGAATCGCTACCTCAGGAGGTCACTTAGAAGCTGCGCTCAAATAGTATTTAAAAAAACCCCAAACAAATACATTGTTTGGAGGTTAATTAAAATAAACACACACACACAAGCACAACCACCAGTGATAATATTTCTGTGCAAGGTGGTTTTGCCATTTATTTTTTCCACCTGACACATGCCCATGTGCAACCACGATCATACTCCCACTGGCACGAAGGTTGGGAGAGCGCTGCTCCCAGACCAGACGTGCAGACAAGTATCAATGCCTGCTTTGGAAACTGCAACTTGCTGAGCATCAGTGATGCTCTGTACATAGCAGCAGCACTCAGACCTCTATGCAGGAAGCGTGCTGTCCCCCAGCGATGTCTGCCTGCTTGGCACATTCTTCTTTGACTTCATTTTGGA